AGAAACGCTTTTTTATCCGCACCAGAAGAGATGCGGGCGATGATTTTCATTACGACAGTGGTCGCAACTGAGGGAAAAGCGTAGGGCTGTTGCAAAGCGTTGAGAGCGTAATTTAGGCTTGGAAATAATTAAAATTGATGTCCGTATGTGTATTGGCATTGCTGCAGTGACGCTACCCAATGCTATTATGAGACTAGTCATGTGGTTTCACTAGAGCAGGTTTTTTGAAACATGCTCCAAAGGTCAGACACTCCCTCTTAGTGACACAGCTTGCAACGATTCATAAGTTTTATAAGTCCAGATGGATTAAGTGAACGCTTCTCAGCGCGCTTATCTCAGATAAAAAAGCATTCCCGCCTCCCGCTAGCATTCCTGAAATATCAAAGCAAGCGTGAAAGCACGTGGACTACGGAATTTTTGTAATACCACATTACACCTAAGGCTACCTGAGAAGACTACGCAGACGTGACATCACCATGGGACTAAAGTTTGGTAGCCCGTAGTGTGATTTTTGGCTGATACTACGCTAAGGTTGGTAGATTACTCACTTGTGTGAAATCTTGTGGTCCTTTAGCCATGGCCTTCGGTTTAAATAAGGTCAAACAAGGTGAAGCTTTAGACTGGTGTCCGAAGTGCCCTCAGACCTCCTTGTGCAACCACCCTTATCCTGGATATCTCTACCAAGGTCACTGGCGTTCACTTGGAGTCAGTGACCTTATTTGACCGACGGAGTTGTTTGATCTTTTAATTCGAATGAGCATCAATGATAACGCCAAGAGGTGTGTTCCCAACAATGTTAATCACGGTCATTTCATGTCAGTAGCCTTTCCTGGCCTCCATGAGGTCCAGATGGCGCATCTGTTAACACATCTGTTGATCTTTCTGGGATCAAGAAGTTCGAAATGAGCGTCAAGCCGACCCCATAAAACAAAGTCTCCAGCAAAAAGCTGACCTTCATACCTGACCCAATGCTAATGAAATTAGCCTATTACTAACTTAAATTGTTTGCTCGTCCAAGAAGTCGTCGCAAAACGTATGGTTTTGTCTGCCACTCCGTTGTCGCATCAGATTGAACTGTTCCCAGCGAATTACCTTCGATGACAGCCATGGCCTGACCTTGACATGCTTTAGGTCAGCAGCCTTATAAGCAACATGTAATTATGCACACGAAAAGAAAGGGCGGATATCAAATCGCCCATAACTGTACGGAATTGGGTACGTCTTTGCCACGTCGTTTGGAAGTTATTTTGGAGATCCTACGGGGGCCAAAATGACCCACTCCCGTGGACGCCGAATGGCCAATGCAGTTAGCGCACCCGAAAACACCAATAACCAACAAAATGATCCATGCTAGTTACTTTAGATAACCATGCGAGGGTAAAATTGACCCACTCACACCCGGACACATGTTGACGGTGTTAGTCGAGCAAGTGCAAAGTCGAGTTTAAACGATGAATATTGCCATTAAAAGGCTGAAAAGTGTTCGTCTCCGATCTCATGCCAAAATTTCGGCTACTGACCAGATGCAGCTCAATATATATGCAATCTCTCACAACGCCGGCAGTTTCAGGGTAAACGTACTAATGCTTGCTTTTCGTTCTTTTAAGTGTGATTTAATTCGTGTTTCCAACAATTTCATTTCTCAACATGCTTCGAGCACATGGCAAAAAGCTGGTCGCAGTCTTTTAAGACAGTCACACTGATCACTGGGAAGCTGGCGATTTATTCAACGATTTATTCAGCGACGAGTTAAAATTTCTCTGAAAAGGCTCTAAGGGTCAGTCATGGCACAAAACATAAAAAAATGACGATTATTTTGAAATATCATGTGACCTGCAACGTCAAAAGCAAGTTCAACGGGCGGGGGACTCCATGTCACCAAAAGCATACCAGCCGATATTTAACTTGCCAGCACCAAAATATTCACCACAGAAAGAACCTGTCCGTCAAAAAGTCCTCACCTCTCAAGGTCATCCTTCAAAGCCGAACACGGGCCCAAAGAACGGATAACTCAATATCAGCAAAAAATTACCGGCCGATTTTAAGCTTTCTGTGATGTCTTCGTCCAGCGGTTCAGCTCAGCTCGGTCAGAGAGAGACGTGTAGCGACGCGGCGATCTGTATTGGACCGAGTCCAGTGGCGTCCTGTTCCTGCTATCCCAGGCAGGCACGACATAACATTTAGTTCAGGTGAACTACCATTCATAAGTCAGCTTGCATACACGCACCTATCACACGTCCCGTACGGTCCGCCGCGGGACGGCGGTCAGCACCAGCCGCAGTAGGCCGCATTCACCCGCGCCGCCGAGGCCGCGCCGCGACACGGCAGGAACGGCATGCTGGGTCACCGGTCCGGCTGGGCGTGCCACAACGCTTTCCAGCACCAAAAAATTCACCATAGAAAGAACTAGTGTCCTTCAGTGGGTCCTGACCTCTCAAGGTCGTCCCTCAAGGTAAAACTCAGGCTCAAAGGATAAAGAACTCCATATAACCAAAAAATACCTGTCGATTTTTATCTCGCAAACATTCGAATATTCTCTGCAAAAGGAGCAAGCGTCCGTCAAAAAGTTTTGACCTCACAAGGTCATCATTCAGGGTCAAATTCAGGCTCACAGGACGGAAAACTCCATGACACCGAAAGATTGCCTACCGATTTTAGACTTCTCGGCACCGAAATATTCATCACAGAAAGAGCAAGCATCCGTAAAAAATACTGACCTATTAAGATCACCGCTCAAGGTCAAACAGGGGGTCGAGGGACAAGAATTATATATTACAAGCTCTGGCGCTTGTGAACATTTTGGAGTTTGCAAATTTAATGCCGACCGGGTATTTTTTGGTGGTATGAAGTTCCCCGTCTTCTGAGCCTAGGCTTGACCTTGATGGATGGCCTTGAGAGGTCAGAACTTTTAACGAACTCAGGTACTTTCTGTGGTGAATGTTCTGCTACTGGTAAGCTTCAAATCTGCCGGTAATGTTTTTGTGATATGGAGTTCCTCGTTCTTTGACACCACGTTTGACCCTGAAGGATGACCTTGAAAGGTAAGAAATTTTTGACGGACGCTTGTTTATTTCATGGTGAATATTCTGATGCTTGCAAGTTTAAAATCGGCCAGCAATTTTTTAGTGATATTGAGTTTACTGTCCTTTGAACTTCCATTTGACATTGATGGATGACCTTGATAGGTCAGAACTTTTTTGACGGACGCTAGTTCTTTCTGTGGATAATATTTTGATGCTTTCAAGTATAAAATCGGCCGGAAATTTTTGGAGCATGTAGAAATCCCCGTCCTTTGAGCCCGCGCGTAACCTTGAAGGTTGACCTTGAAAGGTCGGTTTTTTTAACAGACGCTAGTTGTTTCTGTTTGGAATATTCTGATGTTTGCAAGTCTAAATTCAGCCGGTAATTTTTGTTGATATCGGTCCTTCATTCATTGTGCCTTTATGTTCTTTCTAATACTTTCTGTGGTGAATGTTTGGTGAGTGGTGTGAGGCCATTTAACCTTGAAGGATGACTTTGAGAGGACAGGACTTCTTGATGGTCACTAGTTCTTTCCTTGGTAAATATTTGGTGAGAGGTGAGAGGCCATTTGACGTTGAAGGATGACCTTGAAAGGTCAGAACTTTTTGACGGATTATAGGTCCTTCTGTGGCGAATATTTCGGTGCTGGCAAATTTAAAATCGGCCGAAATTTAAAATTGGCCGGTTATCTTATGGTGATATTGAATTCCCCCTCCTTTGAGACCGCATTCAACCTTGAAGGGTGACCTTGAGAGATCAGTGCTTTTTGACAGATGGGAGTGGCTTCTGTACTGAATATTCTGATGTTTGCAAGTTTAAAATCGGCTGGCTTATTTGATTACATGGAGTTCTCCGTCATTTGAGCCCGAATTGGATCCTGAAGAGACCGTAGGGGTTCAAGACTTTTGACGGATCCTAACGATTTCTGTGTTGAATGTTCTGGTGCTGGCGAGCGTAAAATCGGCCGGTAACTCTTTGATGATATGGAATTCCCCATTCTTTGAGCCCGCGTTTGACCCTGAAGAGTGACCTTGAGAGGTCGGCACATTTTGACGGACGGTAGTTTTTCTGTGGTGAATATTTTGATGTTTGCAAGCTTTTGGATGTTGGCAAGTTAAAATCTACCGATAATTTTTGGGTGATATGTAGAGTTCTCCGTCCTTTGAGCACGTGTTTGACATTGAAGGATGACTCTGAGAGGACGGGTCTTTTGGACCGAACCTTGCGCTGTTGAATATTTTGATATTTTCAGGCTTAGAATCGGCCGGTATATGTTTGGTGTTATGGAGTTTTTTTACGAGCCGATTTCCCGTCATTTGGGCCAGCTTTTGACCTCGAAGATCACATGCTTTTAAAAAGTAAACGTCTGTTTCGATATACTCGTGCCATAATTGACCTTGCGACCTTTCTCAAAAATATCGGAACTAGTCGCTAAATCAATCGCTGAATATATCGCGAACTTCACGGACATACCGCGATGGGCTCCTGTGGCTCTTTGTTCGCCTGATGTCTTTATGTTCTATCGGCTGGGTAGGGAGAGGGAGAACAAGAAAGGAAAAAAAGGAGGCACATCTTTCCAACACATTTCCTGCCATTGGCGATGCTGGACTCGAGCTCAGAAAACGTTCCGGGCCTCCGGCAGTATCGGAAGATTGTCCGAGTTCAACAAGGACAAAATATCGGCCGCAGTGGATGGGCTGGTGAAAACTGGTTTTAGGTAACGTATTGCTTTCATCTGACATTTCATACCCATTTGGCATCAGAAAATCGATCGATTGCGCGTGGGATGCCATACCGTTTATAGCGATGAAGGAACGTGTGTAAGGGATAAAAAGTCATTCCATTACTTTCTGAAAACCTCAGCGTTTTAGTATAACAAACAGAAACTATATGGTAGGCGTGGATGACGCGACCGTTTCAATCGTAAAGCATGCGGTTCTTCAACGTAGAACATGTGTTCAAGAAAACACGCACTGGCTTAAACGGCTTTGGCGCTGGATGCATTGTGGATGAATTGAAACAATTGTGTTAGATACACAATGGATTTATTGCCAAAGTCTGCTCAGCAGTTCAATGAGAAGCAGTATTGGGAAACATTTTTTGCCAAGCGAGGATCTGATGCTTTTGAATGGTCAGAACTGTGATGTGACAATTGTTTTGGGGAGGGCTTTGAGTGCTCTGATCACTTAATGCTTCACTGCAGTATGTGAACAGAAACGGTGTCATTGTCTGCTTAAGTGTGAATCATAGGATAAGCTTAATTCAAGAGATCTCGAATGAGCCTGGTGTTAATAAGCTCTGTACTCCATGGGAATGGCAGATGTGCATTGTGGAGGCATATTGATCTATTTGTCTGTGCATTTGAGCCATACGGGTGCTGCTTGTTGCTTGGAAAGTGAGGTCATCAGTGGCTTGTGCTTCAAAATTTTTCTGTAAATGTTTGGTGCTGGTGTCATCATAGGTGCCCTTGCTGAAAACAGGATGTTTGTTGATTTGATCATTCCAGGACAATGTATAGCCCACTTTGGATTTGTCTAATGCATGATATTAGGTTATGTTGTTGTGTTATCATGCTCTAGTCATGGAAGCACTCCTTAAGCCCACCGGTAATCACATTCTGCCTTGTACTTCAGCAACCTGTGTGACTGTCAGCCTCAATAAGTATTTTGTGGCATGTTACATGTTTGAGTTGAAATCAAAATTTGTATTTCACACACATGTAATGTGTCTGTTTCCAGTCATGATGACTATGATATTTGTTGTTACTTTTTTACAGGTATGGAGAGTACCCTCAACTAAGTGATGTCCTTGGAAAGTATGTGCGCACCAAGGATCACATTCTTGTGGCTGGCTGTGGCAACTCTACTCTCAGCGCAGACATGTGGAATGTGGGATACAAGTAAGGATTTAGTGATGTGCTGAACATATCCATTGTGCATGCTGAACTTGTTAAACTTATGCAACTGATGCAGTGTTTGTGGAGGAATTGATTCATGCTCAGGCTGGACTTTGTATCCATCCAAAGATCCCTGATCAAAGATCCTGATCCGTGAAGTTTGAATAGCAGGCATGATGTAAGTGAAGCTGGTTTCTTTGAGGAAGACACACATTTCAGGTGCAGCAAAAGTGTAACTACTTGCTATGCAAATATGTCTTCCATGTATACTACTGTGTTGTCTGTGAAGGCATGGCACATGGGCAACTGAATAGAGCAGAAGGCATGCAGCTTCAATCTGTTCTGTAAACTTACACATCATAATATCAATCTGCAACATCTCTGCCTTTAGATTGCCATTCTGGAAGCTATGCAGTTTTTTTGTGCACATTTCATGTTACATGATTGTAAAAGAGTTAGACTGATGGCACATTATTTTGGTCACTCATAAAAAAGGCGTGCAGAGGAGCAGTTAAGTCATTGCTGCTTTGAGGTCCTGTACAGCAGCATGTAACAGCTAGGGCTAAAAGGGCAACAAAACAAACTTCAGGCACCATACATATGAACTAAAGTACACCTCCATCAGGTTGTTCTGTTTTTCATATGAACAGCTCATTTCAAAGCAGTGAGGTATTTGCTTTTGAATTATTGATAACAATGAATAATTGCTTGCTGGATTATCTTGTGATTGGTGTTTTTGTGAGTTCAATCATTTGCCATCCAATTTGGTGGTGTAACCATCTGACCAATGTGTGTAACCGATTTGTAATATTGAGGACATGCAATGTGGCTTGTATGTTTATTGGGTAAGTAGTGAGTTGGTACATACAGTGTCATATCTTTATCTAGATGTATTAAAGTGCTGGCGTGCTTGTCAAGTAAGTAGCATACTCCCTGAATTGATGGCACGTTTGTCACATTTATCATGTATCTGTCAGTGCCTTGCACATTTGTCAGGTCAATGGTGTGTTTGCCCAATCAATGTGGTGTCTGGCCAGTCGATGGTGTCGTGGACATCAGCTGGCATTGACCGTCAGGTTGGTGCCGTTTTCAGGTCGATGGTGTCGGTGGACATCAGCGAGGTCGTCATTCGTCAAATGCTGCAGAAATACGGCCCGCTCGGCATGACCTTCACCCGCATGGACTTGATGAAGCTCGAGTTCCCGGACAAGAACTTCACGTGCGTGCTCGACAAGGGCACGCTGGACGCCGTCTTCACCCAGGACGACGAGCACACGGCGCGCATGGTGGACACCATGTTCACGGTGCGTCATCGCCGTTGCTGTGATGGCTCCGCGTGCGGACGCGTGACGTTGTTGAACGTGCTGGACGTGGAGAAGCCTCCTCGCCGGTCGTATTGGTATGCTGTGCGGGTGCACTCCGGCAGCTAGCCACGTCCACATCTCAGGCGAGGGTTTGCTGGAGGCGCGTGACGTCGTTGAACGTGCTGGACGTGGAGAAGCCTCCTCGCTGGTCATATTGGTGTGCTGTGCAGGTACACTCCAGCAGCTAGCCACGTCCACATCTCAGGGTTTGCTCAGGGTTTGCGAGGGTTTGCTGGAGGTGCGTGACGACGGACCGCGGTGCCGTTTCAGGAGATCGGCCGGGTGCTAAAGGTTGGCGGGAGGTACGTCTGCGTGTCGCTGCTGCAGGGCCACATTCTCAAGAAGCTGCTGGAGTGGTTCCCACAGCAGGGCTGGATGGTTCGCATTTGCAGGTCAGGCCACAGGCAGTGGCACAGGTCGTAAGCTCTCAGCGATTACTGGGGAAGTGAGCTAACTTTGTTTGATGCTCTGGTATTCCGTGATGGTGTTTCGGGGTTCGTCAGTGCTTCGCGGTTAGAAATGTCGATTGCTGCCATCGTGGTTATGCTAAAATTAAGCATCTTGTTCGTGAACTTTCAGTGTACAGCCAAATCATGTTTATCACGATATGCTGGTGTTCTGGACTACGTCTTGAGATCATACCAGAGATCCACAGTATTCTGGACGCCGTCTGGATGGTTAAGATATGAGTGCGTAATGAGTGGCTTAGCCCGATTTGAAAAGCTCGCCATCGGTCCTCTGGTCGGGATTTTGCTTGTGTTAATGTTGGTGATGAGAGTTGAAGGACCACATTTGTAACACATGCCAGCAATCACCCGACATCTCATCCTTTAGTATTTCATTTTGTGACCATGGGTTTTTAATATGTTCGCCATGTAATGTGTGTATTTTTTCAGGTGTAAGGGTGCTGAGAACTCCGACTCCGGTGGGATACCTTTCCCTGTCTTTATTGTGGTGTGCACAAAGTTTGAACTCCTGCCGGACCGGAAGCCCATGAGCGTAAGTTCATCCTTTGCTTTGGATATTTTTGCGTGTTTGAGCTGTCATAAATCCGAAAAGTCGATGGCTTTCAGCAAAACAAAATTGCTTTTTTGCGGCTTTGGGCCGGCAGGTGTCAGTTTGTGGAGGAAATCTAGCTACTATTGCAACCGTATGCACAGTTTTGTTGCGGACAATTTTGTCCTTGCTTAAGATTATTTCGTCGGGAGCCGTGCTGAAGCCGATTATCTCAGCCAGGAAGTTTCCGTTCGTCAACGATCTCGGTGCCCGTGTTCCACGTCTCGTAGCGATACCAGCATGTGATTACACAATGCCATGCCCGGCGTGAAAGCCCAAAGGCGAGACGGCCGCCTGGTCATTGACCCGGGGCCGGCGCCGCGCCGCCGGGCAGGTGCTGGAGGTGAGCCTGCAGGACGAGCGGCCGCGTCGGCTGCCCTCGGCCGACGCCGTGCGGCAGGCGGTCACCGGGCTGCAGCAGTTCGCCTTCACGCGCCACGGTCTGGCTGCTCCTGGCAGCGGTGAGGACGTGCGGCTGGAGCTGTGCGATGCCGATAGCGACGAGGCCAGGTTCACGCTTTTCGTCGTCGACCGCTGGCGCAAGAAGACGAAGAAGGCGTTCGCCATCTTCATCGTGCCGCAGGGGCGGTGAGGACCCCGCCGCCCATTATCGGAACTCGAAGTGTTTGAAGCTAGAGAATGGTGTCCGGTGGCAGTGCGTCGCCGCCGCCCATTTCTGTTGTTGGGAAGACAATCTGGCCGTCACAGCCGTCTTTTGCGGGTGTAGGGAGACGGGGTTATCACGTGTCGCCCGGCCATCGCATCCTGTTGCCCTGGATATGGAGTAGCTGCGTGTCACCGCTTCTGGTTGCCGAGACTGATTGGCCGTGCATTAGCGCCGGCAGCCGCCGTTGCCAGGGAGACGGATTGGCCGTGCATTAGAGCCGTCAGCTGCCGTTGCCAGGGAGACGGATTGGCCGTGCATTGCCGCCGGCTGCTGCCGTTGCCAGGGACACGGATTGGCCGTGCATTAGCGCCGGCAGCTGACTGTTACCAGGGGCGGCGGCGGCGGACGACGGCCGTGCGTCACCGTTGCTTTCCAGCCGTCGCCAGGGAGACGGAGTGGCTGTTCGGCACGCCGGCCGGCCGCCAGTCAGCTGGCGGAGACGGCTGGTCATGACCGGCTGGTGGTGGTTCACCTGCCGGACCGGCGGCGGCGCTACGGCGCCCTGCAGGAGGTGCAGGAGCAGCTGTCGGGCAGCGTGCTCCAGCTGCGGCCGGCGCACCTCCGGGACGATGTCCAGGTCAGAGGCCGGCCGGCTCAGGGGGCCTGGTCGGCGTCGCGGCAGGGTATGTGTGTGAGCATGCAGTGACGCGGTCACCACGGCTGCCTGCCGCGGTTCTCCGCCCGTTGTGTCAGTTGTGACCCTGGTGAGTGACTGGTGCCATTCTGACGATCTGACGTGACAAGTAGCAGGCACCATTTCCAACTCTTTGTGATATGAAAAACGCATTTATCGTTGCTCTCTAACCTGTCTGATCGAGCATGGGACGAAACCGGCTTCGGCAGCTGTTTTGGTGAAATGCCAGTTTTCCGCCAAAGGTTTTTGGTTCCATTTCGGCTTTGAACTATTTTCCCCGGCTGACGAGCTTCGACTATCTCCCCGTGCGATTTGAAACGGCGTCGGCTTCAGCTCTGTGCTTTTTTCAACATCGGGCTCCGCCTTCGTCCTCAGCCTTCTAATTTGAGCACCGACCTCGGCCATATCTCATTTTGAGCTGATGGCCTCTACACCGTAATGGTCATTTTCTCTTTGTTTGCGACTTACTCGACAAAACAGTCCTGTTCGTCCTGTCAACCTACCACGCCATGCACCCCTTCGAGGCTGCGGCGTATACATGGCCGAAGATCAATCAGCCATCACCAATTAGTTAAAAAAATAAATTAACAAATTGTCAGCACCAATTAATGCCTGACAACGGTCGGAGAGCTGATTGTCTGAAACGATGCACAACCACACATTCGAAAATCTTCTATTTGTTATGTCACCACCTGGTCTCAGCCACCCCGCGAAACCCTAATTGTGTGTCATGTGATCCCATGCGGTCTTAGCAGACCCGAAAATGGGTTGGTTTTCGCGAAACACTGCTGCACGCCAGAGTCGGCTCCTGCTCTGGTCTTGGGATTCTAAACCAAAGGTTTCGGCTTTGGCTTCACGTATCCTACGCTCGAAGCCGCCAGATAGGTGGAAGACGTTGTCTGCACGCGGGTGCGCTTCGGATCCGGCGTGAACGTTTTAAAAGCATGAAGCCACCAGCCTCAGCGTTGGCTTTAAATTAGAAAACTTCAAAGCCAGCGGCTCGTCCTCGACTTGGGGCTCGTCTGCGTCTTGGCTTCGGATTTGGTTTCAAAGCCAAAAGCCTGAGTTCGTCTCCATGCCAGTATCTGATATCGTGCGTAATCGGTCCTCACGCCTATGGCCCGATAGACATGACGACACTCATGAACATCCATGACCTGATCAGTACTGTCCCCGACTCTCTGACCGGACAGGTGCCGTTCCTGGCCTTCTGTGACCTTATCAACACCGTCCCGGACGCTGTGTTGCCGCACAGATGCCGTTCCTGGACCCCCATGGCCCTCCATGACCTGACCTGACCTGACCTGACGCTCCAACACCGTGTCTGACACTGTGTGACCGTACAGACACCATTCCTGACCCTCCATGACCTGACCAACACCATGCCTGGTGCTATGTGACCCTTACAGGTGCCGTTCCTGACCTGTGCCGGCGACCTGGGGCCGGCGGGAGCTGCGTCACCGCGGCACTAGCGCCGTCTCCGGCGACTACGTGGTGGAGGACGTGCACCTCGAGCATGGCGACGTCTTCCGCCGACTCGTCTTCCTCTCGAACGTCAACATCGTTCAGTCGGAGGCCAAACTCAAACCAGGTTTGCCGTGCTGCGGTTCACGGCAGTCCAGCGGCCGTCAGCTGTCACGCTCTTCCTCTGCCTGTTCAGACATTGCTCTGTGCTGTTTTCGACTGGCTTATATGTTTGACTAACAACGGCCAACGGGCTGCTTGGGGTTGGGTGCAAGCTGTGTCCCGTTTTCTCATTGACAGCTGATGTGTGGTGCTCTGTTGTCGCCGTGTCCTGCTGCCTCATTTCCCGCGCGTGCGTGGTGACGGGATCACGCGTTGACGTCTTCGCGATGTATGCGCTCTCCTTCGCCTGGGCTGCCACCTACCACCCGTGGAGAGCTGCTGCACGTCATTGATCGCCTAGATGATGATGGATGATGATGCTGATGATGCCGTCCACTGACCTGCCGACCGCTGCGGCAGTGGCGGCGAAGGGCGGCCAGCGCTCGTTGGCGGTGGACGCGGAGCACCTCTCGTGCTTGCACCATCGGTACATGGCGGCCGGCCTGGGCCTGGCCGGTGCTGCCGACCGGCCGGCCCGCCTGCTGCTGGTGGGGCTGGGTGGCGGCGGGCTGGCGCGCTTCCTACATGACAAGTTCAGCCAGGTAATGGCCGCCGCCGGGCGTCCTTGCGTTCGGGGTTCGCCTTCGTCGGCAGCATGTACTGGGTCGTCTTGAGCTGATGTATGGTTTAATAAATTAAGACTGATTATATATATACATATATATATATATATATATATATAATATATGTATATATATGTATCTATATGTATATGTATATATATATATATATATGTATATATATAATATATATAATATATATATATATATATATGTATATGTATATATATATATATATATATATATATATATATATATATATATATATATATATATATATTATATATATATATATATATATATATATATATATATTATATATGATATGTGTGCGTGTGTGTGTGCGTGCGTGCGTGCGTGCGTGTGTCTCTGTGTCTGTGACCGTACCGTTAGTCGCCGGTTGTTGTCCCCGTGCCTTCCGCTCCCATCCGACCCGCCGACCTGCCGCGTGCAGGCCGCCCTCGACGTGGTGGACATCGACCCGGAGATGGTGGCCGTAGCGCGCGACTGGTTCGACTTCGCCGAGGACCGGCGGCTAACCGTGCACGTGGCCGACGGCCTCCACTTCATCCGGGACTGCAAAACGCAGGGTGAGCGCGCGGGCCGTCCGCGATCAGCAAACGGCATTGGTGTACGACTTGTCTCGAAGCGTATTGAACGTGGTCGTTGTAGGAATCAGCCGGGACGGCACCACCCGGCGCAGCGCGGTCGGTGCATGGGTTGACAGGGCCGTACAGCACGGGCTGGCGTATCCCGGGACACGGGGTCAGGGTCTCCAGGGCGCCGGAACACCGCACAATGCAGCGCCCAGTGTGAACCACTGCAGCGCTGGGCTCAACGCGGTCAAACACGTAGTAGTTCAGCTTCAAGGGCAATTGACATTTTGTTATGCGGAAGTCTCCCCTTTTCCCTTTTTGATATCATTTAGCAAGATTATCATAATCCCTTCAAGATTATCATAATCGTTTTTTCTTTGAGTGTTTTTTGTTTGTTTGTTTTTTGGTAACATGTGCGGATGTTGTTGCTGGGAACGATTAATAAGTGGACGGTCATGCTCTTATTCAGTGGTGATCCTTCCACGCTTTCGGGATGGGGGTTTTCCAATGACGTCACGCCGGCCTTGTAGTACCCAGTCGGATGGATTGGGTTTCAAACGTGAAAACACCGGAAATCTGAATTGGACTCAGTGACTGAATGCGGCCAGGGCGGCGGCCACCGAATACTCTCCACACTTCCGGACGCACACGATTGTTTCGAAGGTGGTGCTCATTGCATTCATTCGTTTTCGGCGAACTTTGCCTGGTTGACCTTCCAGATACTACTTCCACGTTTTTGTCAGTGCTCGCAATTTCTACGATACAAAAACCAATGGATGTTGGCCTTTTATTCTTGTCGTGTGTGTGTGCTTACGCCTAGCACAGTTCACTGTAAACCTACGGGTCTCACCGTGTGCGTTGGGAGTGCGTCAAATGGCGCGTGTGTTCCAAGGGACACGCGTCACAGGGTAAGGTGTAGTCCCCTCCCATTGGGGACAAAGGCCGTCGTCGAATGCTCGCTGTTGATGTCACCGGATCTCGTAATCTGGCAACGCTATTGATGTCGACGATCTAGTATTCATCCCTTTCCCGACATTCACCCTCGCCAGTTGCCTCCACATCACGTGACATCGCTCCCAACATTCACTACGTCAGCTCCCTCCACATCACGTGACATCGCTCCCAACATTCACCTCGTCAGTTGCCTCCACATCACGTGACATCGCTCCCAACTTGAGCTGAGCGCCGCCGGGAGGGCGCCGGACACCCTGCAGCCTGTGGGACTGTGGGGCCGCGCCGGCGGCCGCCGCGGCAGCTCCGCCTGGCCGTGCCTCGCTGCCGCGCCCGCCTGCGTTCGGTCGCCGTCTGTGCCGCGCTCGAACGTGTGCAGTGTCGGCATGCCCAGGTGTTCAGTCCCAGCCGTGGTGCGGCTTGGCGTGGCTCGAGGTCGACACAGAGAGGGCAGCCGATGCGCCGGCGAGCGGCCCGCTGCAGCCTGCGCGTGGGCGCCGGGCTCCGCCAGTCAGCTCGCGCGCCCGCCTCGACTCGGACCCTCCCAGCGGCGTGCCGCGGTCTCATCATGGTCTCAGTCGGTCGGTAGCGCGACACGTGCGCGGTCGCTGTTCCTCCGAGTCAGGCGCAAAAGGGTCGCGCGCACCTGATGCTGCGACTGACCGCGCCTGGCCGTCTAGGCCACGCGCTCCGCGGTCATGCAGCCGTGACGCCGCGGAGCAGCTCGGAGAAGGGCGCGCCACCGGCGTCAGTGCCTGCAGGTGACTCCGTCGACGATGTTGCAGGCGATGTAGTTGCGGATGCTCGGGTGGATGACATTGGTGTAGAAGCCGGGCAGGCCGGGCGCGTTGCAGTGCATGGCGCCGTAGCTAACCAGGCCGGTCAGGTAGTAGCGGTACCGCTGGCGGTCGAAGTACATCAGCGGCCCGCCGGAGTCGCCCTGGCACGAGTCGGTGTCATCGCCGTACGCGCACAGTTGCCGCGCCGACAGCGGCATCGACTTGTGGAAGGTGCGCTTCACCTGCCGGTCCTCGGAGCAGGTGGGGCCGTCCACCAGGCGCATCTTGCGCACCGTCTTGAACAGGTCCTGCGGCTGCGGGCCCGTCTCGTCGCTGGTGAGCGCCCACAGCCGGCCGTACCCGATCACTAGCAACGGTCCGTCTGCCGCGTGCTCCAGCGTGAAGTTCGCTGGCGGCAGGCAGATGGGGTAGGTGAAGGCGTTGAGCTCGACCGGCTGCTCCAGCTCCAGCAGCGCTATGTCGCCGTCGAACTTGTCCATGTCGAAGGTGGACATGGGGAAGCCGTCGAACACGCGCACCAGCTGCGACTTGTGCACGTCGTACCGGTCGGTCCAGTTGTAGGCGCCGACCAGCGCGTACGTGTTGGACGGCGACAGGCCCGAGAAGTAGGTGAGGCAGTGGGCGGCTGTGACCACGTGACGGTCGGTGACCAGCGAGCCGCCGCACTTGGGCGGGTTGCGGAAGGAGCGGCCGGCGAACAGCGCCACCATCCAGGGGAACTCCTCGCGGCGCGTGGGCACGCCGTTCACGATGCGACCGACCGGGTAGATGGGCACGCCGCAGTCGCAGTCGTGGTAGCGTGCTACCGCGCCGGGCGGCGGCGGCGCCGTGCTATTGACGGCTGCCGCCGGCCGCGGCAGACTCGGCGCCAGCAGCAGGCAGAGGAGGGCGACCGGCCGACCGCCGACCGGGCGCGTCTTTAGGCGGCTCCCACCGCTCCGGTTGACACCGTCAGTGATGGGGAAGCTCCTCTCGCCTTTCCGGCCGCTGGCAAATGCCATTCGGGGTCCAGCCGTACCGACCCAGCAGCTGCCCGCACTCATGTGCAGCTCACGCCGACTGAAGTTAACACCTCTCAGTCGTGTACAGTGACCACCTGGTACCTGAGGGTCGCTCTGTTACCGTGGCTTTAGTAAAGCGCATTGCGTTTAAAACAGATGCGTTTTGGTAGACGTCAGGATAAAGCTCGGCAAAACTGCTCTTGGGCACGCTCGTTTTTTGTTAGCAGTGCAGTGTATCTTCGAAGCGGCGATGCATCTGTCGCTGCAGATATCACTTGCCGGGCGTGTTGCCTAGGCTCTCGCAAGGCCCTTGTTCCACCGCAAGATACCTTGACTTATATGCTCCACAGCTTCTGTGCTGTAAAGGTGAAATATAAAAATCTCTAAATAACGCGCTATTCTTTCTAAGACTACTGCTCCAGGAGATTCTGGTCGGCCCCATTGGCCATGGAAGCATACAAAATTTTAGGACGCCACCGGAAACACGAGATCGCAATGCCTGGCTTCCATATCGAGATGCGTGTTTGAAAGTTGACTTGCTGAAGCATTGATGCGTTGCTCATTCTATTATCTTGCGTTAACAAACAGTTCTGTGTTTTAATGTTTGCAAAAGACGAAATCCCAAGACGTTCTTATGCTTATTGCCAGGGAAGTAGGGTTCTCAGGGTGGGACTGGCAGCTAATTGACCTGGCCTCCTTCGGAACGGGTAACGATGCCTGGAGCGTTAATTCGGACGCAAGCGCCGGCAATATATCTGGTCTCACACGCCACCAGAACCCTTACAAGCATTTTGTTTTGATGTGCCAAGAAAGCAAGCATTCGATGCATTTAGCTGGGCGAGATTCAAAATTATAACATAGCAACTGCAAGTTCATAGCATGAATATTTTTGGCGTTGAAAGTCTTTTATCTTAGTTTTTTGGCGCTTTAAGTTTAAAAATGCTAAGTTATTTTTGGCGTTCAAGGACTCCGTTCCGTGTGAAAGATCCGATGCGCCCATCTGATTCACCCATCATCCGTCCATGAAGAGTCATATCTGTGGGGAGTAAATCTTTGAACGTCTGGTATTAACAAGAAATGCCACAGCGATCGCGCATTGCTGTGTGATCCGCTAAGTTGGCGATGTATTTTTGACCGACACCCAACCATGACACAACTGTGACGTCATGCTGTTTGACAGGTCGGCAGTACTCGGTCATCATGTTTGACGTGGACTGCAAGGACCCCAGCTTGGGCATGAGCTGCCCGCCGGCTCCGTTCGTGGAGCCAGACCTGCTCCGCGATGTCCGCGATTGCCTGTGTGAGGACGGTAAGTTCGGCTGCGGACCCGCTGTGAGGCAGTGATTAACTGTTGACGTCTGCGACAGGAAGATGTGCGTCTGCCGTCGGTCTTCGTTCGCGCGTTGCTGGATGTTCGGTTTTTAATGTGTACTGTGAGTTCAGCGGACTCATGTATATTTGATGAACGCCACCATCTTGGGACGTAAGATCACTTTCCACACCTGTACCGCTATAGCTCGCCGTATAACTGCAGACAGTGCTTCCGTCGCAATGCCCCGCGTTGGTTTTTGGAATCGGCACGTGGCTATCGGCTCCACCGCTGATGACCAGGGGCTCCACCACTGATGATCAAGGTTTCCACCACTGATGACTGAGGGCTCCATCACTGATGACCTGGGGCTCCACCACCGATGACCAGGGGCTCCACCACTGATGACCAGGGGCTCCACCACTGATCAAAAGCGGCGTGCACATTGAGCTTATGAAGCGATTTGTTTCCTTAGAACGCTGCCAGCGTCACACAAACTAAACGAATGTTGATGTATTGCTCCTCCCCTGACCCTGTGGTGGAATCTGTGGAGGTGGGTTTATGATCCAAAAAAATGGAGCTCGCGGCTCCAAATTCGTCTGGGCCTTCGAATCCTGGTGGGCTGCCAATATTCCTGCTACCAGGCCAGAGTCGCGCGGTCGCCGCTGTTGGGCGCCGTCCGACCCTCGAGTCCCGTGCCACTGTGGCAGGAGCACGCAGTCCACCGTCTGCTCGCGGGCGCTGCTGCCTCCGCCGCCCAGTGACTGATGCAGTGTCTCGCGGCAGGCGTGTTCGTGCTGAACCTGGTGGCCCGGGACGCGGCGCTGAGCGGCCGCGTGCGGGCCGACCTGAGCGCCACGTTCGCCGCCTGCGTCTCGTACCCGATCCCGGAGGAGGTCAACGAGGTGTTGTATTGCCTGCGCCGCCGGCCCGACGGTGACCTGGCCGAGACGGCGCGCGCCGCGGCCGGCGCCGTCAACAGCAAGCTCTCGAGCACGCGCAAGGGCAAGACCCGCCGCGACTTCATGGACATGACGTCATTCGCGCGGGAGCTCAAGAACCTCTAGTGCATGCGGCAAGTTCGAAATGCACAGTGCTATCGTGTTGTCTGTGATCATCGTCGTCGGATGCGAATACTTTTTGATACCTGTTGTGGAGGCTGGATTGCGTGCTACTACATCGAGTTTGGTCATGTGTGCCTCATAGAGAGCTGTCCGGGGCAAACCCACGATGTGAGCGTGGTGAAACGGATGTTACGGAGCCCGACCGAGACCGGCACTCAGTCTATTTATACATTGGTCACTCATTTGCATGCGCACCTTACACTGTATCCGGGCTGCGAATGCCTTGATACACAGTAATGCCAGGGTCATTGCACTTGTTAGGTCAGCAGGGTCAAATGACGATTAAAGTTGTCACCGAAACCCTGGACATTTCATCTATCCACTGGTCCCCGAGGCGTAGAGTTCGTCGGACGCCAGCAGTCGCACTACTGTCTCTCCGCTGGAAGACTGTCGGGGTGGCTTCTGACGACTCGGCGCCGTTCTCCGCCGGAGCCCGCCGGCCGACAATGCCCGGCCCAGGTCCGCGCCCACACGGTGCCCCGGTGCCCCCGCCGGTCAAGTGGAGCCAGCGGCCGCCAGAGGCCACTAAATCAGGAACTTAGTGTGCTTGCCCTGCGCGAGCAGCTGGCCGGCGTCGTTCCTGAGGTCGACGCTGCTGAAGCCTAACTGACGTCCCACCTTGAGCGTGAGCGCGTCCACGGTGACGACGTCTCCTGCCTTGGCGGCCTTCATGTACCTGCGGCCGGCGGCGCGAATGTCACAGTCCACACACGCCAGATGCTGCACAGCGGTGCGACGGCCAGCCGGGCAAATGGAGGATGGCATGGTCGGTGATACGACATCGGCCGACCGCGAGGATCGGTGAACACCTGTCCTGGTGCCCCGCTGCTCACAGTGCCACAAAGCGTCCATCCGTCCGCTTGGTCTGTCCAGGCGACGGGGAAACTATGCAGACAAGATGCGAAAACGATAACAAAAACCCGGGGAAGATGAAAAGAACGGAAAGCGACGGGCATCGCAGTCGGCGCTAGCGCACCAGGCGCAATGGAGTGGAGGCGACGCCTCGGGCCACTTACGCGACACTCAGGTCGACCGACACGCCGGCCAGGTTCGGCGGCACGGTCATGAGCGCGGCTGTTGATAGCACGTCCACCAAGTAGGCCGTGTAGCCGCCGTGCAGCGTGCCGCCCGCGTTCAGGTGCTCCTCGGCCACCGTGAACTGGGCCTTCAGCTGGCCGGGCTCGGCGGCCACGACAACAACCTGGACACAATGGGGTGGAGCTGGTCAGGCAGCCCACAGCTCCACCTGAGTGGGGCTGGACTAGGTGGATAGGACAATGGCTTCATTTGGGCAGGTAGAACTGGGCCACCAGGCAGGCTGGGGTTGGTCAAATGGGGCAACAACTCAACATAGTTCAGGCATGGCTTGTTTGCCTGCTGCGGAGCACCACTTGCAGAGTGCAGGACAGAATGCCTCATCTGCAATGACTCCAGTTGGCGGGGTTGGGGATAAACTACTGAATAATACCTGCACAAAGAACTTACTAGCCATGGATCAGCAAATAATCAAAAGCATTTGACAATTGCTTAAAAAAGCAGGGCTGATACAAATATTTTGGTATATGGTGATAACCAGGTAGCTGAACTTGGAAAGATATAACTTAATGTGCATATCCACATTATCCCCATCCTTCATTTCTGAGATGCTAGCAGCAATTGCTGCTTGAAACAGCTGAACAATGCCAGTTCTGGACATCATTCCATGTAACTGGTATCAAATACCATGAATAAAACATCATTGTGTGGCCATCTAAATAATTTGAGCATATTTTCTCCCTCCTACAACATTGTACCGTACATGCAAAATTGAACCCATGAGGTCTTGACCTGATGATAATCCTATCTGTATTAAATGAGAAAAAGCATTGACCTGATGATAATCCTATCTGTATTAGATGACCATGGTTCATATCAACACACCAGATAATCCTATCTGTATTAGATGACCATGGTTCATATCAACACACCAGATAATCATTTGAGGGTTTTCAAAGAGCTGTATAACAAGTTATTAGCAATTTCAGTGCTCATTTTCATATTCCAGAACTATGCCACTCAACCACCATGATCACAATTATGCATCACATTATTTTTAGAACATACGATAACGTTTACCTGTCCCATCAGCCGATCAAATCGCTTCGTATTGGAAACACGCTTCATGAAATCACGAACGACAGTCAAGGTATTTCTCCCTGCTGTAGACGCCATTATTAACACGGTTTCCACAAAATCCCTGTCCACGTCTCGTGTTTGCTTTCGAACCACAGGGCACACGTCTAGTCTTGGGGTGGCTGCCGCCGCGTAAGGCCCGAAGCGCCTCCATCAGAGTAGTAAAGCGATATACACCGTCTTAATGTAAGCGCAAAATTTATTGGAACTCCTGCGCCACTTTCCCTCACTTTTAGTCTACCAAATTCCAAAACTTGGTCCTGTCTTGTTTGTTTCACAGTGCGCCGTAAAGTAAGGGTAGAGAGAGATGCCCAGAGAAGTCGAGGCGAACTTGAATCAAATGCCGGGTCAAGGCAGTTGCCTGGCGTAAGTGAGACGGTACGGCTGCCGGTCAGCCATTGTAGAATTAACAAGATATTTTAAGATGGTGCTGAATATCAAGAAATGTCGCTCTGCTGTAGATGGCTAATGGATGAAACCGAGGCGTGGCATTTGTTTATATCTATCAGTATCGTCACAACACAGCAGCATTGCCAAACGCCGATACAAGGTGGACAGCCATGACTGCCCATCAACTGGTGAGTGACTGTCGGTCATGCAGCTCACTTTGAATTGCTGCAATGCTGCTATCTTTGACACCAGCTCTGAAAAGCATTGCTGCCACGTAGCTGAAATTGGAATTGACAATACTGATAGGGACGGGTCTCAAATGTGGGTTTATGGCGGACAAACTGAGCTTAAAATGATAGTGTTTGATGAGAAACACAACACCGTTAATTCTACAATAGACATTGATCGTGAAAATAGTTCACTTTGGCTTAATCGGGGGGGGGGGGGGAGGGGGCATAAGGCCGCAGGCAGGATCTCCGAAGTGACGGGTCGGAGCTCGATGAGTGCGCTTCACGCCGTTTTCCCCTTATTTTGAGAGTTATCTATGGTGAAAAAAGAAAGATTACAACCTCTGGAGGGGGACCGGTCCTCTCTCACTGGCCGCTCATTTGGCTGAGTCCCTGGAGCGCATGCTTCCTTACCCTCACCAACGGTGATTACATCCATGCAGACAGACACGGTCTCCAATACAGTTGTATGCACATCACTTTCGCGTATCAAAGCCATCAGGTAGGTGATACCAATCACCGTCTTTGGACCAGGTTGCAGGGAGTCGGGTATGTGCTAACTTAAACTAATCTCATATTCGAATCGATAGCAATCTGCATATGCCACGATTGCCAGAATGCAATGTGTGGAAAGCTTACAATTTAGAAAGGCTAGGTCTGGACGGACGAAAGGGGGGGACTTTGCACTCGATTACATTTTGAGCAGATTTGGTCAGCGTCATACCAGTAGCTGATGATGATTCGGTAGCAGCGGTGGCAACGTTGTCGCTTTGTTGTTGCGGTTGGCGGCCTGTGCCGTTTTCAATCTCAATGCAAGTCGTGTGCTAAATTTCCCCTTAACGTTCTCAGGTGATGCTTTACTCAAATTTCATTGCGCCTTACCTTATAGGTAACTCGCAGCCGCCTGATGCTACGGCATATCGCTGGAGCCCTTGCCCTCAGGGTTTCATGCTTGGAGAAAGTGATGCCCAATTTCACGTCAGGATTTCACGTCTGAGGAAGGGTGGGCGGCGGTTTGGGGAGGAAGGCGTTCAGTGGTTGGGGAGTGCCTCTAGCCCACCCCCCACGCGGGGGACACCCTTACCGGTCATGCCAGCAGTATCCGTCAATTCCGACAGCGCCGAGGTGACGCCTGAGCTGAAGAAAATCGGTGCCAGGCCGGCGCTAGGACAGGCCCGCCGGTGATAAAAAGGCTTACGTTCGGTGCCATCGCCCGTGTCAGTCAAACTTGATCGGGCATGGGCTCAATCGTAGCAGAAGCCGAATAGCAGTGTCCTACCCAGTGCCAAATTATTGTGCAAGTTGTTACCTGATTATCTTCCTTTGATGGCTTTTATCATGACACATGTCCAAGGACATTGGGTTTCGCATTTCCGTTTTTCTCACTGAAATAAGCCTGTCATCGCTCATTTACAATTTATATTTATTTGCTTTATTTTTACGTCTGTTGCTGGTGCCGATTTTTAACAGTTGTTCGCCTTACTCATAAGCCGCCGAAGTGGAGGCCGTTGCTCTGAAATGCCACTCTTTCAAAGTCGATTCAGAGAGAGGCCCGTGCGTGAAATAAAGGTATGCCGAATATGTTGGCAGGATAATCTACCGATTACGGTTCTAGTAAAAACACGACGAGGATTCTAAGCGCAAAAATAAACTACTGGAAAGAATGATGGGCATCGCCAGGCCGGGACGTAGATGAGCCCTCTGAAGCGCGGATCGGTGGTGCGCCGACTGAGACACGCGGAAGTGGGGAATGGAATGCAGCATTTCGTTTTAGGCTCTCATATTCCAAATGGCAAGAGCCCCTTATTCTAATCCCTGGAAGCTACTCTGCGCGAAACTGTTTACTCGTCCATCTACACGCTTCACATCTGTGAATTTCAATATGCGCTGCAGTCCTAGCACGGTAGTGCTGGCATATGTTGAATGTTACGTTTCTTTGTATCTTTTTTCGCAAAGGCCTAGCACCCCTTTGCCCACGTATATTTCATGTTTGTGTAAATGGTTAAAGATCTGCTTCCAGATGCTGGAAAGGATCCCTTATATGTCTAAATTGGCGACCCATAACGCAAGTATTTGGCTGGAAACTCATCCTTTGTCGAGTCTGAAGCCACCCCTGTCAGGCTGCCTTGTCGAGTCCTGAAGTCACCCCTGTCAGGCTACTTTGTCGAGTCTGGACGCCACTGCTGTCAGGCTACCCTGTCGAGTCCTGAAGCCACCCCTGTCAGGCTACTTTTTCTATTTTGTCAGAATCATACTGGCGTTGCAGCTTTGTTGTTTACCGTAAGTTCCCGGAAGACCAGCATCTTATCAATATCGTAAAATTTCACTGCGGAGAAAATCCATCCGCAATCCCAGGTCCTAGGTCCACCTCTTTGCATATCATGTGCGATAAATTTTGACGCCAGGCGTAGAACAGATGCTTAGAAAGTCAGAAAACTCCAACGACCCCGCCCAACCGTTTGGGAGAGCCGACCAAAAAACCTGAGGAGCTGCGGAATGCTCCCGCCACACGCCCGGAATAGGGTTTGTGAGTGAAATACATTCCTTACTTGGTACCACTTAATGCTGTGAAAGCACACACATTATCCAATCTGCGAGATAGTCATGCCCGTGCCCCATCCCCCATCCGCCACCCCCACCCCCAGTGGTAGCTACGTCCACATGCACCGGCACACATAGTCGAATTTGCTTGCAACCGTCAGACAAAATCGCAGTAGCTGGGGGGGGGGGGGGGGGGGGGGGGAACGAGGCGATTAACTTTCCATATGAATGCACACAAAAGCTCGAATTCAAACTGCGGAGCTTCAGAGCATGGGCTGACCTAGGTCGCGTTCGATCTGTCGTCAGCACGTTTGTCGGCTGAAATCCGTGACGTCATGCGTGCTGACCGACCGGGCCGACGAGTTTTTTTAACTTTACTTACTTTACTTGGCTAACCCTGTTCCTCACAAATAAAAATACCAGCCGCCGCCCATGTTTTTGCTCGATACCTGTTAAGCTGATATAAGGCTCCACCGCGCCGGCAGCTGGTATCGAATCGGCAGCATTTGCATGACACCAGTGCCAGGGCGAACAGCATGCAGTACGCTATTTTCACTTCATCTTGCATTTAATTTGTCTTCATTGACAAGCAACTAGTATGCTCGAGAGTACGCTCCTCCCGGGCGCCGTGCTGTTTGGATATTGTTCGTTTTACTGCATAAGCGATCTGCAGTCCCATGCCACTGAACATCGCCAGAGTTTTCGTTTGCATTCGGAATGGAAGCGGTGGTTGGCGGGAATAGCGCGAGCGACCATTGATGGAATGTCTGGGTGCAGCGATGGCGGCGGTACGCGGCGTCGCCGGGTCTCACACCTGGGGAAGGGGCGTACGCTGAACATAAGTCATGAAATGAAGGGGTTCAGCGATTGGAGTGCCTCCTGTCTCTCTCTCCCACACCGGAAGCGCCTGCAGAAGCGGTAGTGTATCAGAACCGTCAGCGATGCGGCGACGCCTGGGCTGAAGCGTGTCGGTGCCAGGTGAGTGCCAGGACATGGCCCCCGCATACCAGTGCCGCGGCCAGTGTAGGGTTGTTGTGTAATGTCCTCCCGATTACCCACATTTGGTGGAGTTGCTCATCACATCACATCGCGCATCCAAGGAAAAAGTAGGATTCACATTCCCCACTCTCACATTAACAGATCTATCAGAGGTTGTTTAGTTACCAGTGTTTTAAGTGGCTATACTCACAAACCGCCGGCGTGGAAGATGTCACTTTGGATTGCCTCTCGTGTTTATTGATCCGGGGCTGGGCCCAATGTGATATAAAGCCGCGTCGAAGCTGTCGGGAAGATAAACTGGGGGTTGATGTTGTCCTCGCTTCCTACCATGGCCACAGAGTCAAACTGCATAAGCGTATGGTTCTAGCACAAACAAGGACAGGGACCAACCGGTGAACATAAGCTACTGGCGACAGAAAATACGGTCATCAACAGAGGATCACAAGGATTAAGCGCGGATGAGTCGTCCGTTCCTGCTGCAGACGTTTGGCCGCCACCTCTGCGGACGCTGGGCCGTCACATCTGTGGACGCTGTGCCGTCACACCTGTGGACGCTGGGCCGTCACATCTGCAGACATTTGGCTGCTACCTCTGCGGACATCTGGTCGGTACTTCTGTGGAAGCTGCGCCGCCACCTCTGCGGACGCCGCGCCGTGACCTCCGCGGACACTGGGCCGTCACCTGTACGGACGCTGCGCCGTGACTTCTGTGGACGCTGGGCCGTCACCTGTACGGACGCTGCGCTGTCACCTTCGCGGACGCCGCGCCGTGACCTCTGTGGACGCTGCGCTGTCACCTTTGTGGACACGCGCGCCGTGACCTCTGTGGACGCTGTGCCGTCACCTGTACGGACGCTGCGCCGTGACTTCTGTGGACGCTGGGCCGTCACCTGTACGGACGCTGCGCTGTCACCTTTACGGACGCCGCGCCGTGACCTCTGTGGACGCTGCGCTGTCACCTTTGCGGACACCGCGCCGTGACCTCT